CCCAGTTATCATTAACCGCATTGGCCCTATTCCGCTGTCAGAACACGAAATCTAGTGAGCTGACTACTACGTAGACAGCCTTTTAAGGCATCATAGTTGTGCTCCCAATGTAAATTCTGTTTAAAAAGGCAAATGTCTTTACACACAGCATGGCACTAAAATAATACAATAAACATTAACTAAATATAAAATGTACAAAACACCATAATGTACATTACTGAGATGAAAAAATAAGAATAAATAAAACTATTTAAGTAATCATATGTGACGTGAGACTTCTGTAAATGTCCTTGTACTTTTTTTAAACAATGATTATACCGTAAGTAATCACAAATTTGACCATTTTAATTTTACAGTTAAACATATAAAAACTTTTACAGTGTTGTGGTGAGCTTAGTGAACATTTGTTACTTGAAGCCTGTATATAATGCATTATAAAATGTATTCCTAATGCATTAATTATATCTTTTAATGCACCATAAAATGCGTTATGGTATAATACATTGTAATACTTCAGTTTTACACCTTTAGAAATTACACACAACGAACAACCAATTTTATGTGTAGCAAGGAATCTGCAAATATTCTGATGTATTTTAACTTTTGAACTTTGTTTACAATTATTTATGATGCATTATGAATGCCTTGATAATGCATTATACAAAGTATTAGCAAAAAAAAGTCCTCGAAAATGAGTGACTCTTGTACTTTGGATTTTATTTATTCAATTCTGTGAAACTCAAATGAAAAAAAGATTTATATTCTACCCAATTATTGGACCATTTTACCCAGTTTTGTGTGTTTTGTTTCATGCATAGTAGCACATTATTAGCTTAGCAGCATGTTTCTTCCTATGTAGAGTGTTGCAAATCAGTAACTTGCTAGTAAGGTAGCTCACTACATTTTGAGATGGTTAATTAAGGAATTCATTTTATTTTATTATTATTATTTTTTGTTCCAATAACAAATAACAGTTAAAGCAATAGTTCACCCAGAAGTTACAATTTGCTGACAATTTACTGAAATTTTGTATTACATCACTTGCTCACCAATGAATCCTCTGCAGTGAATGGGTGCCGTCAGAATGAGAGTCCAAACTGCTGATAAAAACATCACAATAATCTTCAAGTACCCCACATGACTTCAGTCCATCAATCAATGTCTTGTGAAGTCATAATAATGCTTCCTCCAGTGAAAAAGTCCATCCCCTGTTGTCCTCTCATCAAAATCCACTGTTTTTGTCTTACAAACGAATCTGTGCATATTTCTCTCCTGATTCAGACAAGACGACTTTTTCACTGGAGAAAGCAATATTATAAGCTGTAGAGGACATTTTAGCTGGTAGCAACAGTTTGATGTTAAAAGCGTCTTGATGGATTTGTCACAAACACTCAGATTTTTGCTTCACTGGATTACTTGTAATGTTTTTATCAGCTGTTTTGACTCTCATTCTGACGGCACCCATTCATTGCAGAGGATCCATTGGTGAGCAAGTGATGCAATGCTGCATTTCTCCAAATCTGTTCTGATGGAGAAACAAACTCATCTTGGATGACTTGAGGGTGAGCACATTTTCAGCAAGTTTTCAAACTTTGTGAAAAATGTTGACTTGAGACTTCAGACAAAATGTAGTGAGGAGCTGATGTGAAGAGCTCTTGCTGCATGACCAGCGGCCGGGTGCTTTTCACACCAGCTGAGCGACCCGTCAGCATCTGGGTCTGATCGCAGCATTTCTCGTGTTTTGATGCACCTCATACAAACATTGCGCCGCAGGTAGTAAAACACTGTGTGTGTGTGTGTGTGTGTGTGCGTGTTTAATACTGGAATGTCGGGAATTCCTTTGGCTCAGTGAGAATAGAGCAGGAAAAGGAAGCTGTCCGTGCATCATGCTTAAGTTATTTTTGCCCGGTGAGAGCAAGAGGTCATAGTGTATGGGGAAAAGAGGAATTTTGTAGCGCACTTCATCTTGTTAGCCCTCTGAAGCCCTTTTATGAACTCGAATGGGCCTCTGCTCGTCCCTGATGACATACAGGGCTTTCAGTTGTGGAAAAAATACTGTCACAAGCCAGAAAAATAGTTTTGGCACTTGCTTTGACAAGCAATAATGTTTTGTTTTGTGTTTCCTCTTGTTATGATAGTTTTGTTCTCCCTGTGTAGATTCGCCTTTAGATAACTTTTCAGTGTTTTCCTTGCCTTAAAAGTTAATGCGAATTTCTGAAATAATTTGGCAAACAGTCTTAGTGGAAAA